AGCAAAAAAGCACTTGTTGCACATTGAGGAAAGCATCCAGGAAAATGTTTTTTCCTCTTTTCACCAGAATATCCAATTCTCCCCGTATTTTTAACCGTGAACTCTTGAATAATCGAGTAATACTTTAAAAGTATTCGTAGAAATGCGACTGTAAACTTTTGTCGAACACCTCACACAAGATCTCCGCAAACTTTCGGATTTCGGGATCGGGGAAATAATTTAGCGGAATTTTACCTGGAGCCGGATGCAGAAGTTTGAATGGAAGGTCTGCCTCAATTTCGCCTCCCAAATATCCACAGTTCAGTCGCACGCGCAATGTGTAGGAAACGATGATCCCGTAAGCGTTGTTTCCGTTGTCCCCCGGCGGGAGAAGTGTCGATGATGCCAAATTTGCATCTTCATCCTGTGAATTGATTGAAAATCTCATCAGTCAAATTTTTGGAAGTCTCTGTTAAATGCCGTATTGCGTGTATTCCCAATTCGTGATCTCGAGTTTAAGTCGATTTTCTTGAAGCGCTATTGAAGTAGAATAATTAATTAGATTTCGATTTTAAAATTATTTTCTTCCATGAAATAAGTACTGTACAATACTGTATTATTAAGACAGGCATTTTAAAGCTTTGTCGTGTTGAAGAGTATCGAACTACTTTATTCAAGAAAAAAGTTTACATTTTGATTGTGAAGTGAATTTTCTTTATCGAGAGAAGTATGAAGAGGACGGGGAATTCAAACGCTTAGTCTTGTTGAATCTCCAGCTATTCGAGCAAAAATTGTGATACAATTTGATTTTGAAGTTAATTTTCTGCAATGAAGAAAGAATGAGGATTAGCATTGCAAATTTTTGCCGTTTTGCACTATTTTTTTTACTATCTACAATTCTACAGTATGCAGAATGGGTGATGAGATTTTGATAAAGTTAATTTCCTGTAATGAAAGAAGTATGTAGCCGGAAATCGTGAAGCGTTGTCGTATTGACGACTTTCCAACTATTTAAGCCATTGAAGATGCAGATTAGATTTGCTGTGCATTTACGGTATATTCTTGACAATTGTTTGAAAACTTTTATTAAGTTTTGAAAAAGCTTTGTCTTACCCGGATGCGACCGTCCAAAGCGACGCCTTCCTTCTTTTTGTTATCCCCAGCGACTGGAGTGAGGAAGAACTGCTTGTTCAGGGATGCCCCGGGGGTTATCGGGCAGCCTTCTTTGGTTTGAAGCGAGGCGACTTCCCGGGAGAACTGAGCGTTCACCACAGTCACCTCGCAATGTTGTATGATGCCCACTTTGAAGCATTTCACGGTTTTTCTCGAATTGTTGCTCACGCGAACGTCAGCAGTGACCCGCTCTCCGTGGTAGTATAAATCTTTGTCTAGGGTTACTTCCAGATTGATTTTTCCCTTTGTCAGCGCGAAGCCTTTGCTGACGATGGCGCTGGGCTGTCGGCTTCCTTTTTCCACTGGCGCGTATTGTACCTGTTATTCGTCAATCGTCATTTTTTCTGGTGCTCGAATTTTTAGGCGTGAAACAATTTATTTGTTGTGTTGGGTTTTGAAAATAATCGACTACAGGTGGACTTTCTTTACAGTGAAATTCAAGGGACCAGAAAAAAATGTATTTTAACCAGAATTTCGTTTCAGAGAACTTGCATAACATGAGGAGAGAAGTAAGATAATTCTATGTGGAAGAAAAATGCGTTATATAGAGGAAAAACCTGTGGATACACACTTTTTTCGATTTATTTGGTATAAACCTTGTTCGATTTATTTGATGCAAACCTTTTTCGATTTATCTGATACAAACCTTTTTCGATTTATTTGATAGCTTGAACACGGTTTTCCTCGTTTCTGAGAGATTTTACTCTTCATTCACGCTTCAGAGACAGATGTTTTTCACGATTCCCTCGAAAGTTTACAATTCAGATCATGCAATTGAACTTTTCTGAGAAAATTTGACGCCTAAGATAAGTTGTTCTTTATTTAAACTAGAGTTGAATGGAAGACATTTTGGAAATTTACCAAGCATCTTTGATATGTTATTGCTAGGTTGCGAAAGTGAGAAAATGCTTCACCTTCCGAATGGCCATAGAAACGGAAGACCTTTTATGGGGCTTCTCCTCTTTGCTGTCACCGATCCAGGTTTTTAGGTCATATTCAACCCCCAAAGGCTTTCCTGTGTCTGAGGATCCAGGTTGCAAAGTCACAGATGTCGGTGAAGTTGATGGGAGTTCGAAGAAGAATGGATACGCATTCGCCCCCAATTTCTTGATGAGTTTTTCCTGTGAAATAATCGTCAAAGTAAGAGGCGAACTTTTTTTGTTGTGTGCAACTAACACATGTCTTAGAGGGACACAAAAAGAAGCAAAAGAGGAATGAGGTTGGCTCTCTCACGTTGGGCTTCTGTGTTCGGGTTTTTTCTAAGCGTCCATCGAAGGGCACGTGGATTACTGGAAAGAGCATTGGCGCATCATACAACAAAACTGATCGCCTTAACAATTTGTTCATTGCTTAAAGTGTTACCATAAACTTTTCTTCGCCTACAAATTATTGGGGGGAGGGGGATTAATGCGTTCCCTCCCGAGCTGATGAAATTATAGCAAGTAGAATGGAAAGCTGGTGGTTGTCGGATTTTTCTTTATAGGGAAACGCACATCCTTTTTATGAAAGTCTTTGTGAGGCGCCGATGTGCAATCCACTATTATTTTCATATTATATGTGTTGGTCCCAGAAGCTCAATTTTTGTCTAGATTATTTTTTTACCTGAAGAGGCGTGACTGCTGTTCCCTGTTTTGAGGGATGGATTTGACCGAATCCCAAGCACATCTCTTTGCTGAATTTGAGACCCATGGTCTCGTCTGATTCGCGTCCATATCTGAATATAGTGTTCACCTGAAAATTCCACCACCGAAATGTTGAGAGTGTGAATCGAATCCGTTCACATTGGTAAATTCACTCACTAGTCCGAAAACTTTTTTTGATTGTAGGTAATCCGTATCGACGACAACGACGCCGTCGATGGGATCAATTTGTCCTAGGTGATCAACGAAGTCTCGCTTTCCGAGATACACTGTCAGTTTCCCTGAAAATAAATGAATAAAAAAAAAAGAAGTGTGTGAATTCAGATCGAGAAAAAAACTCGTAGGAGTGCAGTATTTATTTTCGAATTAATCACCAACGTTGTGTTTATAGGTACAGTACTTATTATGCATGTTTTATTTCTTGTATTTTTCATGGATGTTCTTGAATACGTTGGATGCTGTGCCGTAATTTCCTTCCTCAATTTCATTTAACGTGAAATTATTTTTGCCAATACTGTATGAGATTTTCGATTCCAATTTTTCTGAATAAAAACGGGGTGGGTTTTGAAGCATCTCAGATTCTAGTTTCTTCGGTTTGTAAATGGCGAATGTTCATGTGATAAATTCGCAGTGACTTCGATTCATTGAGCATCGTTCTATCCTCATGGAGAAGTATAACTTGTTACCTGAGCTCGACGCAGAAAACTTGGGGAAAAAATGTATTTGTAAAATTGCCGTATTTCTATGAGTAGGATTTTCAAGTGGAGGAAACACTTGTGATTGAATAAAAGATAACCTTTTTTCGATTTTTTTTATTTGAAATCCTTTTGTTTGGAGTACAGTATATTAAGTAGAAAAAACTAGTGAAGTGTTTTGGTCAATCCTGCATTTTCAAGTTTTTTACTTGAACCAAAGAAAAGAAAATATCCAATTTTCCTGCAACATTTTTCTATCATTCAAAGCTAAAAAAAAAGGGAAACAGCGTCTTGGATTTTGAGGTTGTGTCAAATCCAGATTGATTTATAACTAGGAACCAGAACTTTTCTGCATGCGTCAGCAATTGATGGAAAAATATTTATTGCAAATAGACGGTCAAGAAAATCAATTTGAAATGCCTTTCAAATATCCGAGGATAATGAGAGGTTATATCCTCTTGAGATTAATGCATTTTTTAAAGCATACTAAAAATGTCCTTTTTTCTATCCAAAGACACGCATTTTCGCTGAATGAAGACGGTCGGTTGGTTTCATTGAATTCACTCACCATTGGGAGATGACTTCTTGAACACCTTTAAGGCAACAGTGCCAAACACTGAGAGTCCAAGTAACTCGAGCATGTTTGCTCCGTAGAAGGATCTCGTATGGAAATAGTGTAGAGGGTCAGGAAGAACTGGACGGTGAGCTGGAAAGTGGTTTCAGCAGTGTAGTGACGGTGTTTACAGGGGGACGTTTACAGTGGGGCGAAGTGTTCGGCTTTTATGGCTTCCGAGTGACGCATCTCGGCGAATATACGTGCAGTTGTGGGATTTCTTGGAAAATTCTTGCTGCTTTACGCGTCATAATTCTACGTTACGCAATAAATCCCCGCTGACCGCACTATGCTCGAATTGATGCAAAAATCAGTCTTGATGCAAATGGTAATGTTTCTTTTATGGTATTCTCAATCATGATGTCGGTTACTGAGCTTGCAAAAACTTGAGAGTCCACGATTCACAAATTCACTTGGAAATTACTGCTTGGATATCGTGAGATGCTCCAACTGTTTTTTTTTTTTTAAATACAGTACAGTAAGCTGATTAGGATTAAAAGAAAGCCTGCAGCAGCTTCTTGCCTCTTAACATTTTGCATGATTTTAAAGATGAAAAGCTGCAGCAGCTTTTTGCCTCTTAACATTTTGTCACATGTGCATGATTTATCAACTACAGTATTTTACAGTCGAACTTCTTCAACTCAAACACCGAGGGAACATAAAAAAGATGGCCTTGGGAGCTATTGAGCCGAGAAAATTCGAATTTTTGATGACGAAATAGGAATTGCATGAAGTTCAAGTTGGCAATCTTCTGGTCTTTAAAATGCCTTGAACTTGGAGGCAAGAGTTCATGTGCTCAAATGATCGTTCACTTCCTTTAAAAAAAAAAAAAACAAGTTGCATTTCTTTCCTTTCATCTTTCCTGGGTCACGAAAATAACAGCCCATAGACCTCTAGAACATTTTAGTCCTAAAGATATGAGGGGATAGTCTTTCAAAAATTGAGGCCTATAATTATTTCTATAATTGAGGCATCTAAGTCCATTGTACAGTATAGAATTTAAATGTACAATCATGATCTTTAAAATAATCGTTTTTGTATATTTGAAGATTTAACCCAGTTTCTTCAGCTTTCTCATTGAATCACAGAACTTGGTTGATGCATTCTACATCGGTTATTTTCCGAGATTGAGATTTCGTCGCATACTGATTTGAATGTCAAAATCTGTTGCTTGCACTCAATTACTGTATTTATTTACTTCATAGTTTGTTTTTTTCTTTCAGATCAGTGATCGGAGGAAGTTTGTAGTGATAGATCGGTACTGTTGATTTCTCCCTTTTTTCCAAATTATAATGCACTCAGTCAAGAAACTGGAGTCTGAAAAGTCGACGGCGTTGCTGTTGCAAGATTTGGCAAACATGAGAGGCCTTCACGTGGAATGCACCTTGTGCGAAAAGAACCGCTTCCTGCCGAAAAAGAAGGATCCTCAAGAAATCCCTTCGGATTGGAGTTGCTCAATGGGTCGCTGGACTTGCGAAGATCCGGAAGAAAATCCTCGTGAAACGGATCCGACTTTCGTAGCTGCGGAAGGAAAGCTGCTGGATTTGACATTTTCCCTGGGTTCGGTGGTTTGGGCTTTATTGCCATCCAAGTCGAAGCGTTCGAGGTGCCCCTGGTTCCCTGGAATCATCCAGGATGACCCCAATACCCTGGATTTTTACTGGCCACCGGTGGATATCATGCGAAAAGGAGCAGAAATTGTATGTTTTCGCGTTCCAATTGCTTATTTCCGACCTTAGTTGCTGGTTCCTTTAATTTTTTTTTTCTTTTTCGTTTTACCATGAACACACCAACGAGTGAATCCTCAATGGTTTTTCATATTTTCAGGTTTTTTTTTTATTCCCAAGGGGGAAATCTTCGAAGATGCATTTGAGATGAAGACCTTGTTGACCATTCAATTAAACATGAGAGATACAGTACAATTAAAATTCAGTGGAACAAACTGCCCGAAGGTGGGAACCAAAATTTCACCAACCCGTGACTGTATAAAAAAAATCAAGAAGAAAAAGCAGAAACCCTAATTCTTCCAGTCCCCGAAAGAAGTCCAAGCATTTGAATTTTGTTCATGCAGTGTTTCATTTTCTCCGTAATCTTTTCCTCGATTTGGTTGGAATTTAATCGAATGATGAAGAGAAAATGTAAGTTTTTTTTAGCTCGAACGAAAGTTAAAAAGAAAATGAGACTGAGGACTTCGGTCGAACACCTCGTATTTTTTTAAATCACCCTTGATAGAATTTTCGAATCGAAAAGAAAGATAAAATCGCAAGAGCTATGATGCTAAATCTTGTATTTTTGATCAGGTAACTCGTTGAAAATACTCTTAACGGAACCAGTTCCATTCACTAGTTGTGAATGTAAGTATATTATTCTCCTTCCGGTTTTTCTAGGATCAATACTTCGTGATGTTCTTCACGCACGATCTACAAAGACACTGGGTGAAGCGTGGAAATATCAAGCCGTGGTCCGATCACCAAAGACCTGAAAATAGGCGGACCGAAAGAACTTTTGCTCTCAAAACCGCTGAACTGCTAGCTGCAACAGCGGCTAGTTTTCCGATTGAACGGCGACGCAAGAAGTTTTCCTACGTCGGAATGGCCCCTAAATTTTTAGGTATTTCCGTTCGTCAACCTAGAAGGAAGAAAGAAGTCGTGATGGTTAATGAGATAGACAGCGTCATGGATGGCTCAGGGGATGAGGAAACCCCTATTGTGAGCCAAATGATTAAGAAGCATCTTCGTCGTTATGCCGAGTTCATTCCGGAAGTTGGCGAGAGTCTTTTCGAACCGCCACCCGAAATTTCGACGGCGGAGAAAGATTCGCAATTATCCGGATTGCATCAAAAAAATCTACGAGGTATTAAAAACAATCTATGAATACTTTCAAGCTTTTTTTGAATTTGTCTTAATTTAATTTACCTCTTACCCTTGAAAGTAGATCCAGACCTTCTATACTTCCGAGAAAAATTGTTGGCATGAACATGAAATTAAGATACAAAATTTAAGAAGCGGTATGATTATTTTCGAAGCGAAATCAACTTCGTTGCACAAATCTACTCGAAATGAACATACTTGGTTTTATTAATGTTCGGTAGAAAATATTACGTCGGCGAGCAATTTATAGTTACTGTATATTTATGCATATGCTGACATATCTCTTGGTCGACAAGCGAATTAAATCACTGCGCTTGTTGCTTATTTTTCAAGAACGCTCCTAATCGGCAGAATTAATGTCATCAAAATTTGCTGATTTTCGAAGTAAATTATACGGTATTATTTCTTCATTGAAGGTGATCAGCAGCAGTTCCGTGTGAAAAACAAATCAAAAACGTGCCTAACGGAATCCAAATCTCAGAAGCTCGCTAAATCTTCGAGAATAGTCAAGTCCAAGCAGCATAAACGCGGAACATCGAATTTTCTGGACAATCTGACACCTGCAGCAGAATCGAATGCTGAATCTTCGACTGCTCTAACAATGCAATCGACGGAAAATCCTGTGGATAATCAAGGTACAGCCAGTAGTAAGAAATCATGTTCGGTGCGTAAATTGAGAGTATCCAATATTTGGAGCGATTCGAAGACGCAGAAACGAAAAAAAAATGGAGCTTCCGCATCCACGAAATCGAGAAACGTCAACGTCAGAAAGTCGGAAAGGAACATTCTCTCGAGAAACGGGAAATCTTCTGCCCCGGCTGCCAAGAAAGCCAGAATGGATTCTGTCCCGGAGAACGTTCTATCATATTCAACTGTCGTTGCCGAAGTTGCCTCTGAAGACGAAGACGTTATCTTGCCATCGAATTTGCATGATGGTGCAATGATCGTCCGAGAAGATCCACTTCCCGAGTTGGTTTCTTCGAACGCCCCTGCACTTGTATCTCGAAAACCCGGCATTAGTCGTTATCAGGAAGATGCATCTTTAGTATCTCTTCTTCCTGAGAATCCCGAAGAATCTGTCGGGAACATTCAAGATGCTTCGATATCATACGCCGCGTTGGAAACAGTCGTCCTCGAACCATCCGACCAAGAAGAACAAATCCTTGATCAATCGTCTGGAATTTTCTCCGGAATGGATTTATTTTCTTACGAGCTTCTTACTCCGAATGAAGGCGATCCGGGCATTTTTGTTGAAGATAAAGATAGCTGTTCGGGACAACGGAAGGAAAATGGTACTTATCCAGGAATTTTACCTGAATTCTCTGCGTCTGAAAAGGTTCGAAGCGAAAAACCGAACACGTACTGTAGCGAAAGTCGCAGACCTTTGTGTGATGTGAACAACAACAATGAGGATTTGTTCGATGACACGGTTCTTTTCGAGAGCCAGTCCGTCAATCGGAGCTCCAGTCGTATAATACGAACGGAGTTGAATGAATCTGAAAATTCCCGTCAAATTTCTGAAATTCATCTCGTAACTTCGGAATTGCAAGAAATGACGCAGAGGAAACCGGATGTTCAAAGGAAATGCGTTGAAGTTTTCAAAGAAATTTCTCCAATCGAGCCAACTGGATCCGTCATTGAAAAGTCCTTCATTGGAGATCAATCTTCGTCGTCTGCGGAAGTTTTTCCGAATCTTGCGCTAAACCAGGGATTTAATCATTCATGGTCACCATCCTTCGGGAACTGTGAGTTTACTGCGATGTTTTCGAAAGATATGGAAAGATGCTTTATTCATCGTGAAACAAACATAAAATTTTTCCAGATAACGATTTTCAGAAGGCATATTTTTCTGCAATATAACATGAAATTACTTCATGGAGATGCTGTTTTCAACGACTGAATATTTTTGCTTACACCAAGTTTTTGGTGAATTCTCAACTGATTCGTTAATTTGGATGTATGATATATGTTTATGTAATTCGTTGAGTTTCACACCTTTCGTTGAATTTTTTTTTTGCTGAATATTTTGCCTGATTTTGATCGTTTAAATGTGATTGTGGTTCTTTATTTTTATTTCCTCAGCGAACGCTTCGTTGAATTCTTCGCAGTCGTCAGAATCAGGCTCCGCTATGTTCGGCGGATTTTTCAAAGTTTGCTCTGTGAAGGCTAAAATGTCGGTTCATCAAGGCCTAAGTCAAGAATCGAAAAGAAAGTTGAGGGAATCTTTCCGTGGAGATCCGGATGCTGACAGGGACTGAGTTCGTTCCTATGTGTTTCTAATACTGGGTTTGAGGTATATTCAAAAGAATCGTCAAATTTTCTTTTTTTGCAAATTCAAAATTTTGCTCACAAGTAAGGCTCTTTTTTTACGATTCGTTATGGTGTTCTTCGTTTGCTGTGTTCATCGGGTTACCGATTCGAAATTTAAAACTGATTTCGAAATCAGTTTACCGAGTGATTATATCTTTGCCTGCTGCAACGAGCGATCTCGTTCATGAAACCATGTGATCGACTGAAGTGTGATGCCTTTTTTTTTTGCATTTTCGTTCACGATTTTGTACGAGGATCTGCGAACACATAGGATGCTGCGAATATGTACAAGCCTACGTGACAATTCGTGTAAAAGTGTCCTGCTCATTTTTAAAATGGTTGTCGATTCGATATGATGCTTTTGTTGTTGACGTTCACGAACGTCTAAGCGGTGGTTCTGCGTGAAGATTTTTTTATTCTGTTTTTTCCGTTGATTTTTCCATTCAAGAATGGATATCTCGATCAAGGGTGACCTTTGTGTCAATGTGTTCTGCACATTGTTATATTCAGTTGATTCACTTCAGTGACAAATGTTCGGTTGTGATGGGCAATGTGAAAATTTTCGGAGAGCGAGCTGGTGCATGCCTCAGTTAGAAATTGACGTGTAGAATGTGACGTCTTGTACTGATTTGAGTTTTTTCTTTGTTTTTGCAGTAATTCTGGTGAATCACCTATCAATCTGTGACGCTTACGTTAAGCGGGTTCGAGAATTAATTGAAGAATTGAATCCGCCTCGTGTGATACCTTCGCGATGGAAAAATCTCGGAAGCTCAAGACTTTGAAAGAGACAGGAATGCTGCTGAAGCATCTGGCCAACATCCGCGGCCTGCACGTGGAATGTTCAGCTTGTAAAAAGCTACGATTTCTACCGGATGTGCACGATCCCCAACTGTTGCCCGTGCGTTGGCTCTGCTCTACGGGCCACTGGCATTGCAAGGATCCCGAGGAGCACCCCAGCCAGACGGATCCCACTTATGCTGCGGCTGAAGGAAAATTGTTGGACGCCACTTTTGTTCTGGGTTCTGTTGTTTGGGCCAAGTTCCCGAAACAAGCATCGCCACGAAACCGATCTTGGTTCCCGGGGATGATCGATGATAACTATGACATCAATGAATATTATTGGCCGCCCGTGGAAGTTATGCGCGAGGGAGCTGCAATAGTGAGCTTCGTTTCAGGATTTTCAAGAGTTCTTTGATTAGATCTTTTTTTAACAAAATGTGCCGACTTTTTTTTCCCTTCGAATGATTTTTTTATGCAGTAAAATCTCGTTACAACAAACTTTTGGACACTTGGGAAAAGCTTCGTTATACAGTACTGAATATTTTGTTATGATAAGATTTTCAAAATTAATGGCTGGAAAAATTAGATTTAATCAAGCATTCAACCAGTTGCACCAATCTCCTCATTCTGGGAGGATGATGTGTGGAACCACTTGTAAACATGTTCGTCATTGATGACAACTTCCATCCATGCTACAAGAACCTGTCAGTCATACTTGTATCAAAACTTTCAGATGATACCTGCCATTCAGGAAATGTATACCTGGAGAATATACTAAATATTCCTCAAAATTTTTTTTTATTCTGGAATTGGGAGGTTTGTTGCAGTATAACGAAATTGTTTCAACGTGTGCCCTATGGGCTTTCTGCTGGGACCTGGGAAGAGATTTATTTTGCTGAAAAATGTGTTGTAATTGCATTTTGTATCGAGATTTTACTGTATTTATATATTATATTTTCAGGAGCAGTATTTCGTCATGTTCTTCAATCACAAGCTGGATCGTTTCTGGGTCAACGCTCGTGACGTGAAACCATTTTCTGAGTCCCGAATCGTTAAATCGTGGATCAGAGAAAATACCGCCGAGCTCCGATACGCGGAAAATATGGCCACTGCTGCGGCCTGCTTGCCAATCGAAGAACGAAGAATCAAGTATTCATACCTGACATTGTCGCCTCAATTTCGTGGCATCCTCGCAAAGGAGCCAATGGATACGGAAATTCTTGTGGTCGAAAACGATGTAGACGAGAAAATGGGTTCCCCGGAGGACTCGAAAGTCGAACCACCGATCGTGAAGAAGTTGATCGAAGAATATTTCAAGGATTTCGCGGAATTCGTTCCTCGAGTAGGCGAAGATGTTGTCAAGCCGTTGCCCGGGTCGACATTGAGAAAATCCGCGGATCGAAAGAAACAGACCGACGTGAAAGGTTGGATTAGGAATTTTAAAATCAATTGGGAATTGCTTCGGTTTGAATTAAAGTTGATACTGTAATTTGCAGGTTCTCGCAGGGAAAAGGCTAAAGGACAAGTCAAGGATTCCGTGATGCCGCAACGTGTTCGTTCTTCTGATATTTCTGCTAGAGCAGAATCTGGGAGAAAAGAAAACGCGTTCCGAGTGGAGGAACAAACCGAACCACAGGAAGAGCAGAGTGAGTTCTCATTGAAAGTTATTTCACCGAAACTCCCGATTTCCTATGTACAGTATATGTAAAGCTCTCCAGTCCCGGAAAGGCTAAGCAACTTTTTCTGACGTGGACTGCTAGCTGTTCTCAGCATGAATTCACGTTGCTTAGTACAGTACAGAATTTTTTTTTTACCTTTCTCAGTACTTGGATGTATACGGCAGTATACGACGGTTGTCCCAGTTGGATGTGGCCTCGAATATTTCTGGATTAGATTTGACTGTGAAAAGAAGAAATCGTGACATAGCCCTGTCCTGGAAAAATATCTAAAAAACAAAAAATTAAAAATAAAGAATAAAAAAATCGCCGAAGGAAGAAGGAGCACTAGAGAAAAATTCAAGAAGCAACCGTCGCAAACCGGATGGCGCCAAGCAAGATATTTCCTATGTACAGTATATGTAAAGCTCTCCAGTCCCGGAAAGGCTAAGCAACTTTTTCTGACGTGGACTGCTAGCTGTTCTCAGCATGAATTCACGTTGCTTAGTACAGTACAGAATTTTTTTTTCAACTTTCTCAGTACTTGGATGTATACGGCAGTATACGACGGTTGTCCCAGTTGGATGTGGCCTCGAATATTTCTGGAGTAGATTTGACTGTGAAAAGAAGAAATCGTGACATAGCCCATCATCTAAAGCTATGGGATTTTTTTAGGATTGCGATTTAAAAAATTACAATTCACTGCATGATTGTAAGTAAAAACTTCACAGTTATTGCCAGAGTTCTCCACCCATGTCAAATAGTGTGAAAAATTTGTCAGATTTTGTTGGTTTTAATTCTTTTTTCTACATTTTATATAATGGGTTTTAAAAATTCGTTTTTTTTAGCTGGCCCAACAAGCACAGCTTTACACGGGTAATTTTTTTTTTCTTAATTGTGGGCAGGCCGGTATCCCGGCTGAGTGCTGTCTTTCTTTATTTCCCTCTTACAAAACATTCTTTTTCATCTCGTTTATTTCAAAGTCAGACCATTCCTTTCTCACTTACGATTTCTGCAATAACCCTCAAAGGTTTAACTTTCGTTTTCTAGATTTGTTGCTAGACAAAAGTTTAGTGACAAAATTGGTGGCCAGTAAGGTTCTTTATTTCGTCTTTCAAATTCTAAAACTTTTCTTTCAAAAAAAAAAAAAAAATCTCTTCAAAAAAAAAAAATCTTAAAAAAAAAAAAAAAAAAAATCTTTCACTTCTTTTTTCTTACGTGTACAATAATCTCTATTGAACTCTGTGAGCGTTCAAATTCAAAAAAAAAGAGTGGTGAAATTAATTACTCAAAAGTGTGGATTTCCGAATCTCCGGTTGTCAGTGCAAGTGAACATCAAAAGTATTCTCCTGTGAACTTAAAAAAAAAAAAAAACCAATAAAATTCAAAAAAAAAAACAAAACACATCAACACATTACAAACAAAAGATATAAGCAAAACATACTTACAGCTCACAATGCCAAGGGGCAGAGGGAGAGGAAAGGTTCGAGATGAACCTTATCCTCCCCGTCAAAGTCCACGAATCTCACGAATCATTTCACGAATTCCCGCGATAGAAAATCCACCATCAAACCCTGACCAAGATCACCTTGAGCAAAACGAAGAAATTAACATACAAAACGAACAACTACCCCTACCACCAACCAATCGAAAAGAAACACTCAAAATCATTCTGAAAATATCACAAAACATACGAAAACTGAACCAATCTATAAAGAACGAAACAAATCAAATTGAACAAATTGAAAAAATCCTTGAGGAACTGTCAAATAATATGATTGATCTGATCTCAATAGATTTACAATCATTCAAAAGAAATGAAAAAATACAAATACAACTTCTACAAAAAGAAATATCCGAAATCACACTCCGTACCGCAAAGGAATTGAAAGATGAATGGTTCCTATTGCAACCAACACAAAAAATTGTGCTTAACATACCATTTTCGATAGATTCAACCACATTGCAAACAAATACTAACCAACCCACCACAACACAAGAAACATCAAATCCAAATCCAACTTCATCAAACGAAATCCAAATCGCAACCAATATCGAATATACAAATCAATCCAACGAAAATCAACCACAAAAAGCGAAAAACCAGTTCACAGATCTTGACCAACTCATACATGCTCTCTCTAACCCATCCGACAAAAACATTGACTTCGAAAAAATTGCAAAATCAATAAAACAAAACAACTTATCCTCAAACAATCTCGAACTGGAACTAATCAAATATGGAAAAGGCGCCAAATTATCTATGTCCGGTACAACATACATACAAGAATATCGGAAACTAAAAATGTATCATGAATACTCCGGACTTTCAGATCAAGAACAAACCTTCGAAAATATGTGGCTAAACTTTCGTAAGATACATGAAGCACCATTCGATCAATTAAACCCAGAACAAAGGATACACTTACTTTTAATGAACTTAAAAGGAGAAGCAAGGAAAGCAGCAAGCAATTATAGTGCCGGAGACACACACGAAAAGTATCTGTATCTTGTTATACGACTATTTGACACATTTGGAAACACAGAAAGAATCAAGGCAAATCTATACGAACGATTCGAAAAGCTCCCAACCCCGGATGGGACATACACACAGGCCTATGGATATTTAAACGAAATAACCGATATCATCCAAAAATTACAAAACATCAAAGTAGATCTCGTACCCGTGGACCAACGATTCTGGCCTAAAATTCAAGAAAACCTCATTGACGGTACAATATACGATACGATCAACAATTATTTGAAACTCACTCCACCAATTCATTACTCTCAATGGGAAAAACAACCCGACTTGAAATATCAATGGTACGTCAATTTCCTTCGACCAAGAATATCCTCCAAAGATACCGATTACACTGATCAAATCCACTACTTCAATCTCAAAGGAAAATCAAAAACAAAAAATAACAAAAAAACAAAAAAGAGCGAAGAAACCGATGATGAGGAACCTACCCTCAAAGAAATCACACCGGCAATCCCACAAACAAAAGTAACTGATCAGCAACAACCTCCTGAAAATAGTCAAATTCAACAAATACCACAAATCCAACCATACCAAATCCCACAATCATTTCAACAGATTCTACCTATGCAACCGTACCAATTACCCTTTTTTCCTCAACCACTTCAACAAAACTACCAGTTTCAACCACAATACATACCAAGACAACAATATATACCAAGACCGTACACAATAAGACAACAATATACACCAAGACCACAATATCAAAGAACGTGCAATTACTGTCACGAAGAACATAGAACTCTACAATGTCCAATACCCTTCCAACAAAAACATGAAATCGCAAAACAAAATAATCTTTGCTTCAATTGTCTCAGCGCAATGCATCAAATATCAGAGTGTAAGAGCTTCTACAGATGCCAAATCTGCAATGACAAACATCATACAACCCTCTGCGGGCAACTACTTGATCAACAACAAAGTACTCCACAGCAAACTCAAAATTACACAAAAACACAACATAATACCAACTCTTTGCAAACAAACCAAGCAACCACGCAAAATCAACAAGTAAGCAAAATTCTACAATCAAACAATCCCCCATTAAATTTACATCAAATTCAACCACAAACTCTTGCTCTCCCGCCTCAGCCACAAAGACTAGCACTGCTCCCTGTCCCAACCACATCATCATCCAGTGCAACTCCTAATAAAAATACGACCACCTGACTAGAAAAGATAACCATCAATGCACTCACAACAAGAGTACCAACATCCTTTCTAGAAACAGCACAGCTCAAACACATACCAACCAAAACCATCATACACACACTAATCGACACAGGAGCCCAAACAAATCTCATCTCGGCAGCACTCGTCCAAAAGCTAAAACTTCACACACAACCTATAGCACAAGAATTCGAACTAGCAGGAATATCCGATGACGGAAACACAACCATATCTTCCACAATTGCATATTTACCTCTACAATCCACAACTGACCCCACATTTCAAATACACACATCCGCGGTTGTATCACCCCAGAAACATTCCTGGAAGGCCAAACAGCCACACACTGTTCCATGGATGGAAACATTTAAAAACCAACTAGCAGATCCACGAGTATTACACTCCACAATCACCACATTTGATTTATTACTGGGGGGAAAAGACATCACAACTATTTTTCCAAACCAAATGAACACCGTATATCAATCCGGAAAATTTCAAATCATCCGTTCGCATCTTGGACTTATCATGCGTGGAGCACTCGAAACAACAAGCCAACAGCCAATACAAAAACAAATTCTGTATAATGCAGTATTAACCGAGCAAACTTCGGAAGATATAGAACTTAACAAAACCATCATTGAAAATCTACAACTCGAACGAATACAAATATTAGGTAGAGAAAAAGAAAACCAAAAAGACGAAATCTTCTTACAAGAATATCTTAAAACATTACGCATCGAACAAAACCGAGTCATCGCAGCACTCCCAAAAAGTTCATCATTTCCAGAAAAGTGTTCCCCAAATCTCTTCACAGGTTCAATAAGAAGCAGATCGGTTCAAAAATTATTGGAAAAAGGAGGAAAATTAGCAAACGCATATGTAGAATTTGTACAAGACTGGATTGACGATGGAATTATAACAGAAACAAGTCTATATGAACTTAAACAACGCGGAACACCATTTACCGAGTTACCCCATCATGGCGTAGAACGTCCAAGTAGCGCATCTACCCCATTACGTGTTGTAATTGCAGGAAACGCTGCAGACCGGGGCTGTGCATCATGCAATGATATCTTTGTGGCAGGCCCAAATCTTCTGCCTCAAATAAAGAAAATAATCAATAGACTACGCTTCACACCAGCATTCGCCATTGCAGACGCCAAAAAAGCTTTTGTCCAAATACAACTTGACCAAACTGATCAATATCTCTTAATCATACGATGGCCAAACAAACGCGAAGATAATACTTACCACTCGCAATTCTACAGATTTCTTA